ACTAGTCTTGTTGCGCCTATCTATTGGTCTCGTGCCGGCCGCTGAAAACCCTCAAGGTTTCGCGTTTAGGCTTTCGTGCTTTCTCCGCCTCTGGGTCGGCGGACTGAGCCGGAGGCTCTTAAGTAACTAGGGGGCCCCTCCGTGTAGGGTGCAGAATATTGCCACCCTTCAAACAAAGAATCATCTTTTTAGGGCCCAAGAGGGGGTTCCATGTGAGTGTGGAAAGTGTACGGAAGCTGTAGCATGCTGGGTTTTGCAGGAGCGGTAGAACCTATAGGGTTTAGGAGGTTTAGGTTTTATAGTGAACCCATAGGGTTCAGGGGTTTAGGGGCTTAAGGTTTGGGGTTTCGGGACAGCCTGAATGCCTGAACTAGGTACTACTAGGATGCGGCGGGTGTTCCTCAACGTAGAGGCCAGCCAAGTTACTGGGAAACACGGTAAGGACTAAGAGGCCCCAAGTGCTGAACTGCAAGTTTTCCAGCGTTTGCTGATTTCTGAATCGATGTCTGAATCTTGCACTCTGCGGACTTTTCTCAGCCGCCCTAAACCGTAAGCCCTACGAACGAAACCCGAAACCCTGCGCACCAAACCCTAAATCCTAAGTCCTAAAACACAGGAAGGAGACCTCCAATCTAGGTTTCTCTATTGAGACACCCTGAACTCCTCAGGGCTGTCTCCGCCAAAAACAAGGGATGTCCATGCATAGGCGACACCTACAAATACCCCACCTCCCTATGCAGGTTTAGGATTTTGTTTTAGGGCTAGTAGGGTTAGACTATAATCCTTCCCTACAGAACCATCAGCCCTAAACCCTGGACCGATACCCCAATCCCCGCGTTGCGTCACAAACTCCGAACTGAAAACCTGCCCCCCTTCCTAAGACGGTGATCGCCTGTTGCACGTGCTTCTGCGCCTTTTTCTTTAGGTATTTCTCCTGTTGCAGGGATGCGGGCTTTAGGATTTAGGGTTCAGGATTTTGGGGTCTCGGGGTGAAGGGTCATGGGGGGTTCAGGACGCAGGTGTTGAGGGGCTGGTTATCCGAGTTACTGTCTCCGCATAGGTATGTAGAAGCCGAGCATTCGCACAGATTAAGCCCAAGCATGGGCAAGCTGTAAGCCCATCTGCCAGGGCCGTCCTAGTGCCCTTAACATATAGAGCGTAGGTATGACTCGCACTTTTACCATGTTCAATCTGCGCACTGGTTTCAGGGGGGGCTAGGCTTAGGCTGGAAGAGTAGTATCCACTGTCTCCACGTGATCCTTCCCATGCAAGGCTTTTAGGAAGAAGACAGAAGTTCTACGTCTCCACAATCTGAGAATCAAGCAATCCTCGCTATTCAAGAGGCCAAGCTATATACGGTGCTACGGATTGTGTTCTAGCAATTGCAGGCTGGGCTTTGGCCAGTGTGCGGCTACAGTATGGCACAGGGATTGCTAAACTCTTCAGCACGTAGAGAACACCTTTAACTCTAAACCCGACCCTTCACCTTGAAATCAACAAGCCCAACGCCCATTGAGCTGCGCGGCCTAGGCCCAAAACCCCTGAAATTTGCCAAGACAGGCCAGTAAATACACAATTTTGGGGCGCAGCTCTGAAGCCTAAAACCACTTAGGTGGGTTGTATCATGCATGTGGTTTCTCTTGCAGGCACCTTACTATGAAAAGCCCTTCAACTTGAACAACGGCTCAAAATAACAAGGGGTTCCAAAAGGCTTTAGGGTTTAGGGTTCAGGGCTTAACTTTCGGAGCCCTCCTTGGGTTCCATGCTTTGGGGAAGCTGCACTCCATCTAGGCATTGACTCGGCTCTGCTCTGGGAACCTGCGCGAACTTTGTCTTGGAGGCAAACGTGGCGCTGTTGGACCTCGGATCACACATGTAAGGTTTTTTTGTTGGATCACATTTTAGGATTTGGGGTTTAGGGTCTAGGACTTAGCGTTGGGGCTTCAGGGCAATCCAAAACAACACAGAAGACCCTGTAGAAGCGACTTGCAAGAAGAGGGAAGAAAAAGTTTCTTTGTTGGGGCCCCTTGTAGGCAGATTGATTCCTATGAAATCCTAGGCCACAGGTACTATTCAGGAAAACAATTCTGGGGCTACTTGACTAGTATTACCGTATGATAATGTGCACGTTCTTTTGCATTCCTTGATTCCCTGCAAATAGACCAAACGCCTTGAAACCTAAACCCTAAACCGTTTATTGCGCCCTTATAAGGCCAAACCTTGCTTCCTAGTTTAAGGATTTGGAATCCTCGCAAATGCCCAAAGCACCCTCCGAGGCCTTGGTACAAGCCCTAAAGTTAACCCACCTGTAGGATCAGATTCCTTCATGGGAGTCTGGAAAATGCCATGCCTTCCTCAACACTAGGTCATGGCCCACATCAGAACCTAATCCTCTTGAAGCATGGGTCGGGTCTTAGAGAGAAAAGTAAGGAAAATGTCAAGTCAAAGGAAGTGGCCGAATAACACCAAAACATCTTGGAGCAATACATAACAGCACTTGAGTATTTGCTAATACTACCCTGAGGCTCCTGGACCCTCATAATGGGACCCCAAACCTTAGCCCCCAAAGCCCAAACCTAGCCCCAGAAATCCCAAAATAGTCCTAGGAGCCTTAGGGTAAGCCCCAATGTACACCAAAGTGCTCGCTGCTGTATGGAATAAGCTTCAGCCTTTACCTCCAACGGTCCCTTCATACGATGAACCTAAACTTACGTATGCCCCAAACTCTAAACCGCGTGGCCCCCAGTATATAAGGTCTCTTATAGGCTAAGGGATATTTGACATTCAAGGGTCGGGATGGCGCAGGGGTTTAAGAAAACTCCATATTGCACTGGTTGCGACACCAAAAATCCTAAGATTTAGGGCCCGCCAGACTTGCACTAAACCTCGGAACTCTGGGAAGGTCATGCAGGGTTCTGCTATCAATGGCTTGCCCCGAGCCATGCACACTTCTAAGGCATTTCGGGGCTCAGTGCTTCTGTAGCCTTCAGTGCAGAAGGTTCGTTGCTCATAGGGTCCGGTTAGTTAAGACCCAAGAACTCCAAGGCAATGCTTGAACACCACAATTTCAAATTCCGTCCAAACAGCAGCCACTTCCGCCAACAACACCTATTGGCGCAAGTGTACGAGCAGCCAGCAGAAACGCTCTCAATACTTTGAAAACTTCGGAACAAGGAATTACGATCAGCTCAAAAATAATTATGCAATAGTATAGTGTACCTCGCGAACAGGCCCTAAATCCTAGGTCCCGTGCTAGCCTACGCCCAAGACATAGCCCTAAGCCCCACTCTCAACTAGTGCCCTACACCCTAAACACTCTACACTCTAAACCCTAAATCTTTCGATGCCGACCTGTTAGGGCATCCCCGTAAGTTCAGGACGCCAGCGCCTCTACGACCGCCTCGCCGTCACACCTGGGTAGGCATATTTCGGGGTTTAGCCGGGTCTAGGTTCAGGGGCCTGATTTTGGGGAGTTTAGGGTTTAGGGTCTAGGTGTCTAACTTAGGGTTTAGGGTTTAGGGGCCAAAATAATTGCCAAAGATATGTGAGGGTTTAGAGTTTAGGATTCAAAGTCTAGGAATTTAGGCTTCAGGAAATAGCGGGTAAGCAGATGGAAACAAAAATTGAAAACGACGATGACATGACAACTCGGTAGAGTGTAGGGATTATGGAATGTAGGGGTCTAAGATTGCCAATATCATGTTGAAGTCTGCTTGAGGTATCTTATGCCACAACTATACCAAAAAGTCTAGGACCATGCCATTGGTAAGTATTCAGGCTTGCACATTATTCCGAAACACTCATGTTATCCGTCAGCTATAATCATAGGATCCGAGAGCACATGCACCTTAACACCTGCCACGTTCAAATAGAGCTACCGCAGCTTATCTACGGCTTGTCTGGGTGGTACGGCATCCTGCCATATCATAGTATTCATAAGTTAGGTATTGCGTCCACCCTGCAACACATTATACTAGGGGTCATATTAAAGGCTACATTTGTGTATGACTATTGCAGAGTTGGGGGTAGAACCCAATTTACAAAGAACAATGAAAAACATGCCAGCTTGTAGTTTGGGTTCTTCCCTACCTAACTCCTGGGCGTGGTGCTTCCCATGTTGTTGAGCGGGACCTTGAAGCCCTAGGCTTTGGCGCTGAGGGTTTACCCTGAACCCTAAACCCTATACCCTAAACCATAAGCCCTAAACCCTATAGGGATTAGTCAGGGTCTGAGGTTCATGTGGGGCTGAAGGGATGCAAACGAAACCCTCAAACGCTAGTTGTAGGGTCTAAACGATTTAGGGTCTAGGGGTTTAGGGGTTCAGGGTTCAAACGCAGATAACATTTTTTTTAAATATCAGGTGCTCACCACCAGTGAAGTGTCAATAGAAAGGCAATCTAATTCCAAGCCCTAAGCTCTAAACCCAAAGCTCTGCAGGTAGTATCTTGTTGGCTTCCGGAGCTCGCACATGTCGCTCTTCCCATTTTGCCTTGTTTTTGTACCCCAGCCCTAGATCCTAAAACCCTAAACCGGTCCCTCAAGTAAATGCACCGTAGAGCTGATAAAACCGCAACGACAAACCTCTAAGAATGTCTGTGTCTGCGCCTATGAAATACAATCGCCCGCGATTGAGCAGCACGCCGTACATGCATGACCTGACGAGATTTATCAACAAAGAACCGCGAGAGTCACGGAAATCACGAATCCGAAGTGATCAAGCAATAGCTGAAGATAAGGACAATCGACTTATGTGCTCGCAGCAACATATGGAATGCTTGCTGCTGTTGCATACAGCGTCCGGCACACGTGCAATTGGGAGACCCCAGCAACACCACACGGATGGTGTATCCTGGAATGGTAACGAGATCAATCTCCTAGCTGTTGGCCATGGTACCCTTCATCAGAAGGTCGATTGGGGCTTTGCAGGACACAAATGCAAGACGCACCTATTGTTGGAAGCGCCAGACTTTTCTCGACTGCACTTGCAACTCGGTTTTCCGTCGCATGTCCCTGCCGTGAACCGCAACGTAGCTCCTTTTTGAAGAGGTATTCTAGTGGTATGCTATCACCGTGGCACACGCCCACAACAAACCCAACAAGGTCCTAGATAGCAGCCTATGAGGTTGAGGGCTTGGGTAGACCCCAAAGCCCCAACCCAGCCTTTGATTCTTTCATGGATCCCGCTACTACTGCTACTCCCTATACTGCCCCCAAAGTTCACCCTTGATTCAGCTTATTTATAGGGATAACTAATGATAACTATATAAATTCAATTAAGGTCAATTTAGGGGGAAGCTGGGGGTAGAAGAAGGGGAGGTAATACAGAGACCCATGTTATTTTGCACCAAACCCTAAGCCCTAAATCACAAAAACCCCGAACCCTCAACCCTAAATCCTAAATCCTAACTCCGAGTCCCTGAGTCCCTGAATCCTAAATCCTAAGCTCTGAACCCTCAACCCGAAATCCTAAACCCTGACCCCCAAACCCTAAGTTTTCAACCCTAATTAAAACCTAAACCCTAAACCCTAAACCCTATAAACCCTAAATCCTAAACCCTAACCACTAAACCCTGAACCCTAAACCACCAACCCAAGGGAGAACTGGGTGGCAAGCGTTTTCTTCAGATCGCGCACCTGCGGTACTCAGCTTAGCCGTGGATAACTGAAACCCAAACCTTACTTCAGGTTTAGGGATTAGGATTTAGGTATTAGGGCTTAGGGTCCAGGGACCCTAGGATCCCCGCTGATATGCTTTACAGCTATAATCCTGAGCGAAAGGAACGTAAAGTGGAAAACCCTGAGCTCCGAACGCAAAATCCTAAACCCTTAATCCTGAAGCATTGATTCAAGAATACCTGAACACCTCAAGCATTTAGAACATTGGCCCTTTGGTGCTTTTTTGGGGGGAGTTTTGGGCCATTATGTTACCTACTTTGGGGCGTTGGGGTTAGTTAGGCGTTGAGGTATACATCAAATGAGACCCCAAATCCTGCAAGCACTGCAAATGCACGCCTCTTCCGGTGAGAGCGATTGAGCCTCACTGTGCGCAATCGTTTCATTTGGGGTACAAGGTATAGCGTTTAGGGTAGGTTTGCCTGCCCTGTAACATTCTTGTCGTATGGCATGATAGGGAGTATATAGCGACGAACGGTAATACGGTCATACACATTTGAAAGCAGGACAAACTGCCCCCGTAGAATAGCCAACGCCCTGAACTAGTACGACTAGATTAGATAATTCTCGAACAAGTGCACATGTGGCCTACTCAGCTATGAAGTTTCTCTAGAATGAGCCGAGTTCAGGGCTTAGAGGGCTGAGCTCGGGATTGAGAAATTATTTCTAGGCCCGAAACCCGAACCCTGAGTTCTTTTCTAAACGCTTCATAAAGGGTTGTGAGACTTATGGACCCATTTTTGAGCCCCTTAAAAACCCTGAGCCCTAAATCCTAAATCCCATTTCGCGGCCAAATTTTCATGGAAACCACCACAGTCGAGACCCCGAATTTTGATCACCTACCATGTCCTAGGGGGTTTCAGGCTGAAGGTCGGGCTCGGGGTTCAGAATTCATTGTAGGCTTTTTTCCCATTGTAAGCTTTAGGGTTTAAGGTTTAGGGCTTTAGGTTTAGGATTCAAGGTCAAGAATTTGGATTCTTGGGGCTTTGCGTTGTTCAATGCAGGGCTCAGCCTTAAACCCTAAGCCCTGTACCCTTAAGCCTATATGAGTTCAGGGTGTAGATTTCAGATTCTACGGATGGATCTTCTGTTTCTGGAATTCTAACGAGCTTGCGGCTTAGGGTTAAGGATTTGGGCGGTTTAGGTGGTTTAGGCGGTTTAGGGCTTCGTAGTTGCCATGAGAGGTTTTCCGCGGGCTCGCGGCTTGCAACTTCTTGATTAGGAATGACATAGGGCTTCTTGGCAAAAGCTCTAGCACTGACTACTTGGAAGTTTATGGGGCTTGGTAGCAGCTTATAACTGGTTTCATTCAGTTATTCAGTTGCGTAGTCCCTAGAAGGCCATTTAAGGGGAGTATAAATGGGCTTATAAGCCCAGTTACAAGTAGGTACTATAAGTCCCATGAATGCTAAACCCTCATTAGTAATAGTTACGAGGCCCCCATGAACCTCCAAGTGGGGTTGATCAAGGACACCAGAAACATCTGAGCTCAAGTCGCGTGGATGAGGGTTTAGGCTTGACAGGGCTTAGGGCTTAGGGTTTTGAAGCGCTGGGTGTTGCTCCAAGTCCACCGTTATACTACCGGTACCTAAACAGCTGCCAACATCATTTGGGATCTGCTTGAAGTTCCCTAGACATGAATTATCCATAGGATTTTAGAACCATGGCCATGGAATGAATGCTTCTTTCTGCCCTTACAGCCCTATACCCTATACTAAGTACGTACTTTGAGGTTTCGAGCCCTGTGTTGACAAACAAACTCATCGGCTTGCCTTTGCATTGGATGGTCCATGCGCTCCGTCATGTGCCGCGCGGAAACTGCAAGCCAGTCACAGATTCCAAGTACTTGTAATCAGGCTGACAGGAAAGTTAGAGAATATCATAGCGGCACTGGCAGGTATAGAACCTACAATGCTGCAGCAGAATATGAAAAACAAACCCCCAACCCTGAAACCCAAAACCTGAACCCTAAATGCTACACCCATAAAACTCCCCCCAAAGAGACATGGTGGCTGGGGTGCCGGGCCGAGTTGTCCTGAGACAAGTGCTGGTTGTTCTCCTGCACCTATGACTTCAAGTGTGGGACGATCAGCAACCCTAAATTCTAAACCCAAGCCCTAAGTCCTAAACCCTAAACCCTAAACCCTAAAACCCTAAACCCCTAAACCCTGAAACCCCCCAAACCCTAAACCCTAAGCCCTAAACCCACTGCCAAAAAAGGTCCATCTCACACACCTGACGCCCAGTTTTGTCTGAACCTTGAGCCGGCACCCTCAGGCTTTGTGCTTTTAGTGTTCAACCCTTTATGCATTTTCCCCCGAAGCCTGTACCTCTAGTTCGCCGAGGCATCCAGCCTCAGGGCCTTCAGATCCCTTAAACTCCCTTTGCAGACACACCTCAGCCTGGCCA